AACTGACATACAGGTCAAGGGAACAGAACAAAGAACCCAGAAATAAACCCATATATTTACAGCTAACTGAATTTTAATAAAGGTGCCAAAAATACACAATGGGAAAAGTCAATCTTTTCAATGAATGGTGTGGGTAAATTGGATATCTCTATACAGAAAATGAAATTAGACCCTCATCTCATATTTCATACAAAAATAAACTCAAAATGGGTCACAGAGTTATAGGTAAGACCCCCAAAATATGAAATCACTAGAAGAAAAGTTCCATGATATCAGTCGGGTGATGGTATCTTTGACTATCTCCTCAAAAATGCAGGGAAACAGAAGCAAAACTAGATCAATGGGGTTAAATCAAACTAAAAAGCTTTGGTAAAGCAAAGAAAACAATAGAGTGAAGAGTCAACCTAGCGAATGGTAGGAGATATTTTCCAACTGTACATCTGATAAGAGGTTAATATATAAGGAAATATGATATGTAAGGAACTCAAAATTTAATTCAAAAGCAAAAATCTACCTGGTTTAAAAAATGAGCAAAAGACCTGGGTAGACATTTCGCCAAAGACAACATACAAATCAGTTTAGCAGTATGTATCAAAATTCTCATCATCACTAATCATCTAAGAATGCATACCAAAACCATAAGATACCATCTCACTCCTGTCAGAATGACTGTAATAAAAAATGCAGAAGGTAACAAGTATTGGCAAGGATGTGGAAGAAAGAAGCCCTTTCTTCCTAATATGTTGAAGAGATATATGCACTCCCATGTTTATTGTGCTACTATTCACAGTATCCATGATAGGGAATCAACCTAAAGATCCATTAAAGGATGGATACATAAAAGAAATATGATATATATGCCCAATGGAGGACTATTCAGCCACAAAGAAGGGCAAACTCCTGTTTTTTATGGCATTATGGATAAACATGGAGGATATACTGTTAGGTGAAAAAGCTAGGTTCAGAAAGACATATTCTTGCCTGTCTCAAGAAGTTGAGAGTAGAATAGTTACAGAATCTGATGGAGAGGGAGTTGGGAAAATGTTCGTCCACAACTACATATACATATTTAATTAAGTAGAAGGAATAAGTTCAAGAGATCTGTTATACATCAAGTTAATTGTAGTTAATGGTAATCTTTGATATTCTTAAAAATGTTAGTAGTGAATATTAAGTGTTCTTATAGCAAAATTAATAACTAATAACTATGTGAGGTAATGCATTTATTAGTTGGCTAGATTTAACTATTCCCCAATGTATACATACTTTAAAACATCATATTTTACACAATAAATGCATAAAAGTTTATTTGAAAAATAAATGAATTTGTAAAAAAAAATCATAGTCAAATGCTACTAACAACCCAGATATCCTTCAATGCATGAGTGGTTAAACAAACTGATTCATCTATGCTATAGAATAATGGTTAGCAATAATATAGTAAAAACTATTGGTTGCCCTAAATACCTGTATGAATCCCCAGAGAATTATGATGAGTGTGGAAAAAGGCAATCCCAAAAGGTTACACATTGCTTGATTCCATTAATATCCCAATCTTGGGCACTTAAATTTTATAAATGGAGAACATATTAGTGATTGGCAGGTTTGAAGGAGTGTTAAGGGCAGTAGAGAAGTGGGTATTACTATGAAAAAGCAGCCTGAGAAATCCTTGTGGTGAGGAGACAGTTCAGATTCTTGACTATGTCAATGGCAATATCCTGGCAATAATTTTGTGCTATAGTTTTTCAAGATATTACCACTGGGGGGAACTGAGTAAATGTAAATGGGATTTTTTTGTATTATTCTTAAAATCAAATGTGAATATAGAGGTATCCTGAAATAAAAAGCTGAAATAAAACAGTAAAACAACCCCCAAAACCCAAACAAAAACAAATAAAAAAAAGTTAGCAGGACAATAAAAGTATAAGATGTAGTTACATATGTAGTTAGTTCTTCTTCCCTGCCCTAAATAATAGCAAGTATAGGAGCCATCACATTCATGATTTTAATAAATTGAAGCTCATTTTAGATGAATTAAACCATTTTACTACATAAGAAATTGTTCAACAAATTCCTTTGAAATGTGAATAATTGCCTGAAACTGCATATTGATATTTTCAAAATTTCATAATTGTATAATTTTTGTCATATTCTTATACCATATATACCAGTATTTATTTTATATTGGTTCAATAGTTTCTTTGGCTTTCTTTTTTCACTTTTTTGTTTGTTTGTTTGTTTTGGCTTTTGGTTTTGGTTTTTTTTGGGGGGTACTGGGGATTGAACCCAGGGGAGCTTTACCACTGAGCCATATCCCTGTACTTTTTATTTTTTATTTTTTGAGACAGAGTCTCACTAAATTGCTTAGGACTTCATCAAGTTGCTGTGACTGGCCTCAAACTTACAATCTTCCTGCCTCAATATCCCTAGTTGCTGGGATACAGTTATATACCACCATGTGCCTGGCTCACTTTTAAATATAAATTTAATCTCATTATTTTACTATAAGATATCATTGCTATAAAAGGAAATAATTCAGAAAAATTAAATATGTAGCCATGAAAATAAAATATTTGCCCACCATCGCCTACGTACCATACCACTAATGGCAGATATATCATATATTAGGAAATACTGTCCTAAATGATTGTAAGTTCAGATTTCATAAATTTTCTCTTCTTAATTTAAAATTTAAATGTTTGATAAACTTGAAACTGTTTCTGTTTACAACATTTTTTTCTCCAATGCATAACAAGCATTCAATAAATATTGAATGCTAAATTACTGAATGAAGCATTTGTATATTCATTCCTAAAGTACTACCTATTGATAATAATTAAAAGTGAAATAATGCTCAAACTGTATAAGAAAATACATTATGACCAGCATATGATTTTAACCCCAGTCCTTAACCCTGTTAAACTTTAAAGAGTATGTTTGTTGATCAAGGAAGGGTGTCATAATGTAAATAAAGTGAGGTGGACTTAAAACAATATAGGAAAGGACCTGGTGATTGGAAAAGGAATAATGAGAGAGAAAAGAAGTAGAGAAGTAACACTTTACCTATATATGAACTGAGATGATTTTTAACTATGTTAAAGAAGAAAGAAGGGTCTAAATTGAAGGCTAAATATAGAAAAGAAAGTTGCTTCAGTGGAGAAAACTCTGTTCTATTAATAGTTATTTCCAAGTGGCCAAGAGGGAACTAATTTTTTTTCCAAAATGACTATCAACGTTACCCACATGGCCTTCTTCTAGTGAAACTCAATTCTAAAGCTTAAATCAACCTGTTTTCTTTTGTCCATGCACTTAAGAAATGACATAATCAATTTTCTGCATCATTTGGGTTAGAAGAAAAGACTATATAAAGCTGAAATAAGCATAGCACTCTGGACCTATTTATAATCAAAAGTTCATCAGTTAGCAAGGACCCTGAAGTACAAATAAGCTATTTCATAAAAAAATGATGAGGTCTCAGTACATGGAGGAAATCCCCAGTAACTGCGTGTCAGGAAGTCAATGGTTAGCTGATTTGGCCACTAACAATTATTTTGTCAGTAGGAAACATTGGCAGTAGTAACTGACTCTTGGGAAAGGAATCTAAACACATTCATAGTGTAGAAATAATACTAAAATGTTATAGTGATATAATAGGTTTTTTTGCCTATTATGCAATATTATAATCTAAGAGACTGTTTTATATGCCGTTTTATTGGAGGAACTACTAAGAAGTGAGTATTGGCTTATTTCCCTGATTGTTTTGGCTTATTTCCCTGTATATTCATTAACTTATTTCTTTCAAAATAGAGTGTCAGAAAAGAAGAAATTTTAAAAGAAAAGCAAAAGAAATATGTGCTTCAATGAATATGGTGTTAGAAGAAATGCAAAGGAGTAGATTCTACCAAATAGAAGGGACTATCTGAGGGAAAAGGACTCTAAAGGACTCTACAGCTGGCCTTACCTTTTATATGGGGCACATCATCTTGCCTGGTTACTGCAGTGGGGAAAGTGGTGCAGGAAGGAGCATATAAGAAAGGCCATAAAAAAGAAAAGAAAGAAAGGCCATTCTGTCTTGGCAGATGAAACCTTCTGTCATAGCATGGAACTGTCAAATGGGAGTGGTACATGTGGATATTTTTGGCATCCACAGTCATTCAGAGTCTCAAGTCAAGCCAGTGAACTCAAAATTACATAATTTTCTTTCGCTTCATTTTTTTATATGTTCGATATGCTGTCTCCATGGCAAGATTTTCTTGAGTGTTAATTGGCATAATATGTGTAACACACAGTAAAAAGTGATGGAAATGATATGTATTCTTCAAAATACATTGATTTATGAGTGCTGTCGCTATATATCTTGAAGGAACCTTCTGTATTAAGTTGGGATAGATTATTCTGATAATAATGAAAGACCCTAAAAACTCAGTGACTTAAAGCAACAGAAGTTGATTATTTTTTTGCTCATACTATAGTCAGTTCCAGGTAGCTATGGAATGTGACCCATGTAATCCTCCCTCAGGTTGGTATTTATACCTTCTGCAAATCAATAATCATTCCATCTGATGAGGAAGGATTCATGTGAATCATATACAGAATTTTAAAGTCTCTGCCTAGAAGTCACACATATCCTCCCCTAATTGGCTTAAGGAAGTCACATGTCCATACCTAACCTGAAAAAACTGCAAACTGCAATTCTGGAGTATGCCCAGAATATTGGAAATATTTGGTGAGAAGCTCTGATAACCATCACAAATGGTTTTCAATTTTTATAGTTGATGACTTTTGCAAATCAGAGTAACCTTCTAGATGTTTCGCCTATTACTAATGCCACTACATTGTTTCTGCACAGCTTTTAACAACTTATTGATTTTTATATTGTCTATTTCAAGGATTTACTTGCATTAAAAATTATAGTAGCCTTGTAGCAGAATATTCTAGTTTCTCTAATAGAAAAGAAACAATTGCATGAAATCCCACTTTTGTTTTCTTTTGTCAAACAGATATTGATGAATGCTCTGATGGCTTTGTTCAGTGTGACAGTCGTGCTAACTGCATTAACCTGCCTGGATGGTACCACTGTGAGTGCAGAGATGGCTATCATGACAATGGAATGTTTTCACCCAGTGGGGAATCGTGTGAAGGTCAGTACAAGGATCCTTGTTTCCAAGAAGTTTTCAATCTAGTTAGAGTCAAAATTCAATCAGATTATATTCAATTATTTATAATTAATTTTGAATTATTTTCAGTGAATGGACAAACAACTCTGCTCTTTCCTGTCCTTTATTAAGGGGCATCATATTTAGAAACCAAGCAAAACAAGCAGAGCAAAACAAGCAGAGTCCAGTGAATAATTACCAGGGAAACAGCTAGTACCATAATAAGAGTTTACCTTCAGAATTCTTGGCAGAGGAATGGGAAACAAAACAAAACTCACTGTTTTCTCCATTTGTATCTACACCTTCATAGAGCAGCAGCCTGAGAGAATAATGGGTTTAAGATGACACAGTCAATGAAAGCCTTTGAGAATCTAATTTAAAGGTACTTAGTACCTAAATGTTAAGAAGTCTTTAATCCTTGAGCCTGAAAGGGTTTTCACACAAAGGAAGTAAAACAGACTGGGATGATGGATGCCAAGGCTTCCAATATGCTTTGCCAATTGCAGCAGAAGGAGCTCTAGACCCTGAACAGAGGGTTCATCAGGATTTTCACAAACAATGGGAATGTTGTTGCCATACCTGAAGCTAAAACCTGGCATTTTCAAATCATCACTTAGCTGTGGCTTGAGGGCTTTATCTTGCACTTGTGAATGTCCCAGGGTGAGTATTTCCAGCTCTGTAGACAATATCAAGAACCACAGATTGCAGTTCAGAAACAGATCAGTCATTTTTGGTCTTCCCTAATAAGTGCTTTGCATATACTCTATAGAGTTGTATTAAGATTGACTTATTAAAAGTCATGCATAGAAAGAATGAATATAACTTGGTATAAATAATGTAAATCATACAGAAGTATATAGATTAAAGCTGAAAATGCATCCTTATTTTATTTCAGTGCCCCCACTCATCCTTTTCACTTATCCTCTAGGGATAACCTGGGTTTAATTTTCTTTTCTGTGCATCTGGATGTGAATATATATATATATATATATAAATCTACCTCTTTTGACTTCTATGCTTTAAATTTGTAGTAACACTCACTATCTTTTAAATATATGACCACAATCTGAAGTGGGCTGTATTAGTTATCTATTGATGCATAACAAATTACCCTAAAAGCTCAGAAGCTGAAAACAAAAAAATAGTACCTTATCTTTTCTGTAGTGAGAGAAGTTTGTACAGTTTAGCTAGGTGTCTTTGGTAAAAGGTCTCTTATGAGATTGCAGTCAAGGTCAGGACTGGTCTTATTTTGAGGCTTATCTGAAGGGGCAATGGGGAGATCTATTTCCAAAATCACTCATGTGACTATGGGTAGGCCTTAGTACTTTAACATATGAGTGTCTCTGAAGGGCTGCCTTAAGACATGGGAGCTAGTCTTAGTTCCTATAGTAAGCAATGCAAGAGAGAGCAAATGACCAAGATAGAAGGTACAGTCTTTTTTTAACCAATATTATACTTGAGGCCACTTCTTTCATATTTGATTTGTTAGAAGCAAATCAGTACATCCAGCACACATTCAAGGGAAGGGATTTCCCTTGAATGCATGAATTCTAAGTGATAAGGATCATGGGGGGGCGGCTGTCTTAGAAGCTGTCTACCATAAGGGCTGACAGCAGTGTCCAGCATTCCTACTTCATTTCCTAGTAACTTTTCCCTCTAACTATGATCCAACCACTTCATACCTTCTTCCATTTCCTCAGACTTTGGACACTGCTTCCTTTCTCTTCATTCTCTATCACTGCCCTTTTTGACAGGGAAATCAAAAGTAGTCAAAGGGAACTTACTTCTCTTTTCCATGATCCATATTAGTTTGCTCTCCTTTGTCTGCAACTGCTGCTGCCCCTCCCTTCTGTTTGATTGGATGAAGTAGGATTCTCCTGTCAGAAATCAAACCCATCATTGTACCTTGCATCTCATCCTTCCTCACCTACTTGGGCATTCTGCCGTTCATATATTTATTTCCTCCTCCATTTTAATTATATCATCCTTTCCCATGGCATTATATTCTCATTAGCATACAAACAAAGCAAAAAAAGAGTAACTTCCCTGGACATCACCTAACTCTCCAAACATAACCCCCATTTTGTGCTCTCTTTAGAGTAGAACTCTTTGAAACAGAGTTTTCAAGCTTGTTATCTCTTTCTTCTTGCCAGTGAGGCTTTAGTTCCACTGCTATAGTTATTGCTTTCCTTTCAAGATTACAAACAATTTCTTACCAAATTCACTGGTCAGATACTGTCTCTTTCCTTAATTGAAGGGGCAATGGGGAAATCTATTCCCAAAATCAATCATGTGGCTATGGTATTGACCCAATTGATCATTCCTTTCTCTTAAAACATAACTTTCTTCCATTGGGTTGGGGAACAACATTCTCTTCCGGCTTTTTCTCACCCCACAGGAATCTTCTTTTATCCTGTAAAGGACAGCATTTTCAAGTGCCCCAGGGCTCGGGACTTGTCCATTTTCTCTACACATTATCAGTCTCTGCATCAATCAGTCATAGCTTAAGAGGTCATCAACATATGCTTATTCAAATCTCTTCCCTAGCTGCTGATTTGTATATCTAGTGGTCTATGAGGTATCTCAACTTGAATTTCTAATGGGCAACTCAGACTAATAGAACTAAAATATAACTCTTGATTCACTGTGTAAATTTTACAGGTCCATAAATATAGTTGCTCAGATTGCTCAGATCAATATCTGAGCGATATTATTTTCCTCATATCTCACATCTAATAAATAAACTAACTTCACTATTTCATCTTTCACAATGTATTCCCAATCTGACCACTGCTTATCACCTCTACCCTTACAACCTTATGAAAGGCACCATTCTCTTTTGTCTGGACCACTATTCCTACTAGTATCCCTACTTCCACTTCAGTGTTCTTAAAAACTTTTTTCAGAATGATCCTTCTAAAATTGAGGTCAGAGCATGTTACTCCTTTCTTCACCTTCCTGAAACTTTCCATCTCTTAGAGGAAACCCCAAACCTTGACCATGATTTTAAGAGCCTACATGATATATATACTTGACCTTCTGACCATTTCTTCAACATACCACACAGATTCCTTTTCATGGGCTGTTCTTTTTGTATGGAATATCCTTTGCCCCAATTTTGCATGATACTTCTTTCATTTAATTTACATCTTCTCTCAAATAAGCTTCTCTTAGACTTCCAGTTTGAAATGGCCTCTGACTTCTGACACTATTCTGTTACCTTCCTTCACTTTTCTTTGTGAAGGTGATGATAAATGATAAATTCTTCTACAATTATAGTATATATTTGTTTGCTTGTGTATTATCCACTTTAGATTGTGAGCTTCAGGGGTCATTGATCTTTTTTGCTTGTCAGTTACCATATTTCCAATTCTTAGAACAGTGCCTAGCACATGGTAGATGATAAGTTTATTTATGTAATGATAACAGTGGAGGTAGAAGTTAGATAATCTTTTAATTGGGAGTATGTTAGGCATATAACCTATGTTAGAATTATATATGAGTATGAAATATACTGGATATACCTATACTATATTTAAAGTGGATAAATAGTAATATTCAGGATAAAACATAATTAGTGTACTCCAAGTATTCAGTCCAAAAAGTAACAAAGACAAACTAAACATTAAAACACATGATAAATGTAAGACAGTAAAGGATTCTGTAAAATACCTATACAGAAATGTCTTTTCAAGGAAATTACACAAACAGAAATTTTTATTTTTTTAAAACTGCTATTCTGGAAGATGATTCTTTATTATATACTAATAGAGTTTATTAAAATTATCAGAAATCTACTACTTTGTCAGAAGACAACATGCTATGAAAGAGTCTTTTCAAAGAAACTACCTACATTATATTAAAATAAAAGACTAAAAGACGTTTACTATAATTTTAATGATTTGTATATTTGTAATATTAGTATTTAGAAGGATTAAGCTTTAAGAATATGATTATATCTAGGAAGGTGCCATTTTTCTGTTCCTTTAAAACAAAGCATTTCAAAGTGGACAAAGCTACAGCAGTGGACTTATAATTACTCTGAAGCATAGCATTTGTACTTGAAGATATAAGTAAATAGTTGTACTGTTTCAGTACATTTTTGGCTACAGTTGTGTGTTTTGCCACATACGTGTTTATAAGCTGCATACATACAAATTGTATGCAATTTTGCTCATCCACTTATCTTAGAGATTTAGGTGCTTAATCCTCAAGATGACAGGATGCTGTTTTTCTAATCTATATCATCATTTATACTTTGCATGAATTTTTTTGCTTGTCAGTTACCATATCTCCAGCTTCACTATGGGACACAACTCTGTATTTTTTCCCCTACAAATATGTTTTATTTTATTTTCACATCCACATTTTCCTTTCTTTCTTTAACTTCTGGATGATCTTTGATAAAGTTCTTCAAATTTGTGATGCCAAAAAATGTTTACAGGATACTTTCTCTTTTAAATATTTTGAGACAAATAATGCAATTTTTTTAACCCAACCAAGAAAAAGGAACACAAATGAAATGAGTCCAATTTAACGAAACAAGTAGTTACTGAATATATGTGTACAGACACATTGAGGTACTTTTCCAGTCATCTGCTATATACAAATATTAAATAGAAATGGTCACTGTTTGGGGCTTGTAGAAAAGATAAAATAAGTATAATAATAACTGTCATGCAAGATAGAATATTTTGAGTTTCTTAATAAATGAGAAAATTATTTGATTTTGAGAAAAAAAATATTGGAAACAGAGCAATTGTTTCCTCTTTGGCATCAAGGAAACTTTCTCAGGGTACCTAGCATTGGTTTTAGGAGTTTATTGAGCATGATGATATTATTGACAATTTGAGTTGCAGAAAAAGGAGACAAGCAGAAGACTTAAGTCTAAGTGCCTTATATGAAGTTTGAGCTTGACTCTGAAGAACTATTATTGAGAGAAGAATGATGAAAACGTATCTGACCAAAATTATATTTTGATCTGGTCCTATTTTTTTGAGCTCCAGACCTATATAGTCAACTACTTATTGGACAATTCCACTTGGAGGCCTAAAGGAAAATGCATTTCAAGGTGTTCAAGGTGTCCTAAACTGGGAACATGACTGCTTGCCCTGCCCCCTCCACCTTCCCCAGCAAGGTCTCCCTCTTCTATGTATATGATCGATCAAAATTTCCAAGGTGGAAATCTACATATCATCCCGATCCTTCTGTCATTTTAATATTCCAATTCAACAAGTCACTTAATGACACTGATTCTTTCTGCATAGTCTCTTTCTATGCATTGCCACAGTTGACACTCAGTACAGCAGTTTGTTTAAGAATACAAACTTGGCTCCTATCTTACTGACTGTGCTATTGGGAAAGTTATGCAATATTTCTATGATTCATTTTCCTAATTTACAAAATTAGGAATCCTTTGTACCTTCAAGTGTTGTTGTGACAATTAAATGAGTCATTATATGAAAAATACCCAGAATCCAGTAGGCAGCAACCACTATGTGAATCTGCTTTTGTTGTATGATCATCTCTTGCCTGGACTACTGAAACAGCCTACTCACTGATCTTCTAGCTTCAAATTCTAATCCTTTTCCAAAAAGAAGTCTAAGGACTCATTCTAAAATGAAAATCTATTTTTTCGTTTCTCTAAATTAACATTTTACTGCCTTTATAATAAAGTTAAAATTTCTTAATATGACCTTTATCAGGGCCTGAGTGCCACTTCACCTATGTGGCTGCCTGCTGCCTACTCTGCTCTCTCAGTAGACATTTATTTCACCAGTATTTCTGTTTCTCAAACTCATCTTGATAGCTCAAAACTTTAGGCCTTCAAACAGACTCAAAACACACTAAATCACTCTTTATCTTCTCTTTTCAATGGATAAATCTTATTTATAGTATAATTGCCAAACTTAGGGAATATATAGATAGGAGAAAGATCCAGAAGAAGCTATCAATGTATTAAGAAACAAATAAGAAAAAATTATCAAGGAGAGGAAGTAAGCTGTGCCAAATGCTGCTGCTAAATCAAGCTAGAGAAAAACTGAGACTTAACCAATGGATTTAGCAACATTATTTCTTCAGTAGTCACTCACTAAATAGATTATCAATATTTATAAAATTGTAATTTTCACATATCATTATAGGTTTTCAAAAGTAAAAGCCATTTAGATGTGAAAACTCCAATACTCAATATCACTTATCAATTTAGGAAATTTTCTGCCTTGTGAAACCCAGTTTAGATAACAAGTGTAAAAAAAAAAAAAAAAGTGAGTGTAAACTAATACAAATCCTGTTGGAGAGCAGGAGGTCAGAAAATAGCTCATTATGGTACTTCTGCCTATACATTTTTCCAGATATGAAAACACAGGCCAACCCTTCTGAGCAACATTTTACTCTATTTTTTATTATAAATGTGCTTAAGAACACACATTCTTTGTGTGCCTGGACATCTCTTCTTTGTCTTTTGCAGAAAACTCAAGGTCTCTTAGTGCCTTTTCAGAGGAAAAAAAACTGCATTACTTTGTCTCACAGCTTGTATTTTAAACATCAAGAAAATGAAATGATTGCAAAAATTCAGCCATTACCATTAGTGGGATAACATTTTTACAGTAGATATTTAAAAGGTTATGCATTAACATGTATCTGTAGAGCTTGTGGTCAAAGAGGTCGAATTATTATGGTTAATGTTTTTTTCTGCTTACTATAACTTCTAACTCTATGAGTATCAAATGGAGACAAAGATCAAGTCATCAAATATACCACATCATTCTGAGTAGACCAAATACAGAGCTAATTTATAAAATTTCATTTTCATTACAAAGAGATATTTCCTTGGATCTGAAAAATATATATATTATAATTAATTTTTTAAAAGTATGTCTAAATGCTGGCTAACAGTTCTCTTTTTGTTTGTTGTCACAAACAGCACTATTCTCACTGTATTAATAGCAACAGTTTCAGCCTTTGTTCTAATTTGTTGGTCTTGTTGAAATGAGAACTAATATAAATCAAGGTAAATACAGAGAAAATATATCCCATGGCTTATTTTCAGGAACAAATTTATAACAGAACTCTAATATTTAAGAATTTAAATGTGGTCAAGATATAATTTTGACTGATCTAATTCTTCAATTAATGTTGAAATCAAATCATTTAAGAAAAATATTTACTAAATTCCATCTTTAAAATCTCCATGGAAAATCAGTGTTTGGTTCCCCTAGTTAAATCTATACATTTCATCTTCTAACCTGCTTTCCCTACCATGATTTAATTCTTTCTCTCTTGACCTTTACTTAGAGGAAACTGATGAAATGGGAAATCACTGCTTACTGCCACTCATAAAATCTCTCTGAAATATATTTTGGCTTGTGACCTTTAAATTGTGGGGTAAATAATATGAATCACATCTTCTCTTATAGTCCTGATCTGTGGGTCGAGATATGTTTGCTTTTCATCTGTATGAAAATGCTCTAGCCTGTGATTGCCATGAAGCAGGTGAGGTTAGGTGAAGAATGGGCAGTTCGTCAGGGGATAAAGTGGTAATATGAGATGGAAAGTTAAGACAGAGTGGATTCTTTTGAAGGAGATTGTAATCACTGATGGTCATTTGCCTTTCATGGGTGAGTAGAGGATCTAAAGACAGTGTCAGAATAGCTGGTCTATAAAGAAAGAACACTTGGGCAAAACACTGGAAGGAGCTTACATTAGGGTGGTATAGCTGTGAGAATAGAATTTGAAATTGAATAAAATGCCTCAGGGGTCCTATGACATTTCTCTACAACTAAGAAGGGATGTCTATGAGTACCAGCTTAACATTGGGGATGATATCCCTTTTAGAATTTCTGCTACCATGCTGTTTTGTATGATAAATTGAGTTATATTCTTACTTTCAAAAATATTAATGTTTCATAAAGCCTAATGGTATTTACAGAGATAAAAATTTGAAGTTTTAGCCAATGTTATCTGGTTTTTAAAATCAAATGTTGATAATATTTTCCTGGGAAATCCCCAGGTCATTCACAATGCTTTAGACAGCCTTTAATAGGAGATGCATACCAGTAAGGTGAAAATTAATTTACAGTTAAATGCTTTATGTCAGGAGGCAACTTGCCTGATTGAAATGATTTGAAACAGCATATTCTAAGCATACTGCATGCTGCTTCTTCTTGGCTATAGATATAGATGAATGTGGGACTGGAAGGCACAGCTGTGCCAATGATACCATTTGCTTCAACTTGGATGGTGGATATGATTGTCGGTGTCCTCATGGAAAGAATTGCACTGGGGACTGCATCCATGATGGAAAAGTCAAACACAATGGTCAGATTTGGGTGTTGGAAAATGACCGTTGCTCTGTGTGTTCATGTCAGGTTAGTATAAATAAATCTGCATTTATTTTAATTGTACAGTTCAATTAGTCTTAATAAATGAATACATCCATTTAACCACCATCACAATTAATATTATTGAACATTCTAGTAACCCAGATGTTGCCTGTATCCCTTCCTGGTTAATCCTGTACACACAAAGGCAAACTCACCTTCTATTTCTTATAGATAAAATTAATACTTTCTAGAGCCTCCTATAAATGGAATCACAAGATACATTCTCTTTCTGTCTGACTTCTTTATTTCAACATTGCGTTCTTTGAGATTGGTTCAGTTGTTACATATATCTCTTCTATTATATTGCTGAACAAAAGTCCATTGTGTCATACTACTGCAATGTGTTTATCTTCACATAGTTATAAGATTTTATTACTATGTTCATTTTTCCATAGTCAAAATATCATGTTTGAGTGAGTACATAAATGAAACCAGAATAGACAAGCTATGACCCAAGGGTGAAAAATATCGATTTGGACTATATTTCAATTTTAGAAAGGTATTTTGTTATATGTACCAGTTTATAATAGAGACTTAAATTATAGTTAAATGAATAATACTATGTACTAGAGACTCGATAAGCATGAAGGAAATTGATAATAGTGTATACAAAAACATAAGGTTTAAAATATTGCAGATATTTAGCAATATGTGAAACCTAGTTATCAAATACTTGCCTTCTCACAAAACAAAATTTAGATAGTATTCAAATTACTATACTAATACACAAGTATGTGAATATTTATACACCTGTACACTCATTTATATGTATATAAGGACCATACAGGGGTTATCATTCCAATTACTTCTGGAAAATTTCTTTCTGGTCAAGTCATTTGAGGAGGAGTATGTAGAAAGGAAATTGGAAGTCCTCCAGCTTGGGTAATTTCTACATGTTAGCTACAAGATGGAATTTTAAAGAAACTATATTGTGTTTAGTAAACTGTGTGAATTATTTCATCCTCCATGTGATGTTAGTACACTGAGAAATGGAGGGTTTCGTATGCTTATTTTTCCCTTCCCATACAGAACGGGTTCGTTATGTGTCGACGGATGGTTTGTGATTGTGAGAATCCCACAGTTGATCTTTTTTGCTGCCCTGAATGTGATCCAAGGCTTAGCAGTCAGTGCCTCCATCAAAATGGGGAAACCTTATACAACAGTGGTGATACCTGGGTCCAGAATTGCCAACAGTGCCGCTGCCTGGTAAGTTTAGGTACATGAAATGGAGAGAAAGCTTACGCCTGGAAGCTAAGCGAAAAGCAGTCCTGTCCTTGCTGTCTACCATTAGCCAGTACCTGGCTGTAGTATTGGCAGTTTCAAAAAATGAGCTTGGTCAGGATGATAAAATGGTGGACCAGAGAAGAACATTCTTTGTTAGAAGTGGCACATTACATTGTGCATTCTTTTTTCTGAGAGTGGTGTCTTTCAGATGTATTTCCAAGTCTCAAAGAAAGAAAAGAGTCCTGCTTCCCTCATCCCACCTAGTTTATGCTTACTTAAAGACAATTGTGGGTAGCACAATAGCAAATGTGAAAAAATAAAACATTCTTTTTCCACACAGAGATTTTGTTAATCCATTTCTTCATTTCTCACAGTTAAAAAGGCAAAAACAAAAATCAACATTCTTTTCCTTATGAAGTTTGTTGCTGTCAGTGCTATTCTGTAGGCACCTTCTTTTGTACATACTATGAATATGAAATAAATACATAAAGAATTGAATTTTAAAATAAGGTTTGTGAAATTTTCCTGGAAACAAAAAGTAAAGACTTGATAAAGAAAACACTGACTTTTTTCAGTTGAGCAAATGTTTTGTTTCTAATTATGTAAAAGAAAAGGAAAATTGCTCTACATGTCTTTGTAGTAGACAGTTTCACAGAAGAGGCTACTTTTAAACTTATAGCTAATTTCCTATTTGTGTGAGGATATTTTTGAGGCAATGATTTTTTTTTGTTACTTCCTTTTTATTATCTCAACCCAAAAATCAATTGAAAGAGCAAGGTCAGTTTCTGCGCCTGAAGGCTGCTTTCATCTCGAATGTCATGAGATTTGGAATCATGAAGAAAATAGGAAACAGGTGGGAATCATGTTTTTAAAAAGATACAATTTACACAATTTTCCCATGTGGAATAAAAAAGACTGAAGAAGTCAGTTCCTAGGTTTTGGGGATTTTCATGTTGTTTGTTTTGGTTTGGGTTTTTTTTGTTGTTGTTTGTTTGTTTTGCAGGATTTGAGGAGTGGCTCAAAGTCCTTACACTGAGAAACACATAAATGAACATGAAAATTGTCAAATTCCTTTCATTTTTTTGTTCATTTTAGTAAATAGACAAAGCTTTCTCTATGAGAAAGGAATACATGAGACGTTAGAAGAAAAAAGATCAAAAAAATAAAAATGTCACCTCATGATCAGAAAGTTAAATGGAAGCATTCTTCCACAGTAAACAGTTTTTCTTTGTCAGGGAAAAGAAAGGGGCATGAAATTTTTATTTTTTTAAGAGAAATGGTTGTTGATTTTGCTTTATTATTGTTATTTTTTAATCCTTGAAAAGTGCTTATAAACCTAGCTTCAGGATAGATCTCATCACTCTGAGAGGGCTTTTGTAGATTCCTTGTAAGATTCACTGGCTTTAAAGGTCTAAATGTAAAATTCAATCAAATAAATTGAGTATTCAATAAACACTGTGTTCCCCTCCTTCTTCTCTGCCTCCTTCCAATTTTCTTCCTTCCTCTCCATATGGTCCTTACTCATCTGTTTTTCTTTTAGCAAGGGGAAGTTGACTGTTGGCCCCTGCCTTGCCCAGATGTGGAGTGTGAATTCAGTGTCCTTCCAGAGAATGAATGCTGCCCACGCTGTGTCACCGACCCTTGCCAGGCAGACACCATCCGCAATGACATCACCAAAACTTGCCTGGATGAGATGAATGTGGTTCGCTTCACTGGGTCCTCTTGGATCAAACATGGCACTGAGTGTACTCTCTGCCAGTGCAAGGTAAATCCCATTAAATTCAGGTACTGAAAGTACTTTGCCAGCAGCACCCAAGGCTCAGAGGTACTAGTGTGCTTAACCTGAACAATGGGAAGTATTTTTTTCCCTATTTGTTATTCAAACAGAGGTGGGAGGAGTGCAGCTCAGGTTTATTAGAACCAAGGCTGACTTTCTCACGCATCCTCCAATGTATATTCAGGGAGAAGGAGAGTGAATGGACTGAACCCAGAATGATCAGTAGAAACACCCTACTTACACTGTCCTAATGTATCAAACTGTACACATCTTTAAAACAACGACAAAGCACACTACATGTTTCTTCTGTCATGTTAGAAAACAATATTATATTGATTTGTATATAGTTTTTTACAAGGTCTGTAAAATATATTGACAAAGTAGATACATTGCATTTTCTAAAGTAGAAATCAATATGGCAAAAATGGGCATGTTTCTTGGTTTGTTATGGTCAATTACATTGAATTGAAGAGTTTAAGATCTGTGTTTACCATATTCCTTCCGTTGGTGAGAAATCAGTATATAGATTTTTCTCTTCTCATAGGAAAATAGAGCATTATACCTTTTACTTGAGTGAAAGCAAAAAGTGGATAACAGGCAAAGTAGAAGGAATTTATGGATAGTGACCAAGTTGAAAGCATTCTGATTGTTATTCCTATAAAATTGAATGGCTTTGTACTTCATATTTATAATTTTGGGAACAACACTGAAACTAAATAATATAAAGGCTTATCAATAACAAAAAGCAAAAACACCAGATTTTTGCAACATTTCATATCTATATCTGCTCTGGTTTGTGAGAATTTTCATCTTGTGAAGTTTTCAATACAGCAATTTAATTCAAATTTACTTGATATAAATTCTTATTAAGGTAGCTTGATGTAATGGAACCAAGAAATATAAAATTATTTAGGACTGAAGATATTTTTTTCCTCTTTCATACCCAAATCTCTTGCTCTTTTAATCATATAATATATCAGTCAAGATTTTTGATTGATCATTTACTGCTGTTTTCTGAAAGCACACCAGCAAACTTGAAGGAATCCGGTACAATAATTTACTAATAATGTATCTGCAGTGTTTCTTTTTAAATATATGTTTAGCATGAGTACACTTAATAGTACATATCTCAAAACTTCAGTGCTAGTGTCCAAACAGGGAATTCTTTCTGACATTTAATTACTGAATAGAATTGGGTCCTTCCTCACCCTTATCTAACTGTACAGAGTAGTGACAACAAAAATATATGCCACATGATAGAAGGAGATGTATATATAGTTCAGATGGGTACTTTTAGTAAGTAAAATGCATTCAAGTAACAGGCAGTAAACATTAGTATGTTTTCTTAGGTAAAGAGCATGAATAAGCCTGCTATTCACGACTTTATAAACAACTGCTAGAAACTTTTGACTGTTAGTAGAAATGTGTTCCAGAAAATGTATTTTGATAGTAAAATTATTTCTTCTTGTCACATGGTGCTGATCTTAGATGTAATATTTGAGGTCATTTGCCTTATTAAATGAGTTATAACAGAAAGTTCAATTTTACCAAATTTAGCCCAAATATTCATTTTATTACATCTATTTTGTGTTATTTTAAAAATGAAGTGTATGCAAAACAAGTGTTAGGTATGGCTTGGAGGTAAGCATTCTTCACAATTCAGTGTTTCCAGAGCACATTACCTCCCCATTCCACCCTACTTTGAGTTATTCATTTTTAGTCAGTAAATAAATGTCAAAGCTGAAAACATTCTAATTGGATTATTGTTGCTGTAAAATTTAATTTAGTGGCTTTAGTATTTCATTGTTTTAATTTTGGAATCAACTCTAAAACTAAATAAATAATCTCAAAGCCTAACAACAGTGTGGGCATTATGCTGGTACCTGAGATGTAATGATCAGCATTCCTGGAAATAATTGTCTAGAGTGATCCTATGCAGGTTATTTGAATTTAAATTAGTGAAAATTAAACAAATTTAAAATATAGTTTCTCAGTCACACTGGCCATGTTCAGTTGCTCAATAGCCACATGTGGCTACTAGCTATAATATTAGACAGTACGTGTAGAGAACATTTCTGTCATCACAGGGGTCCTGTTTGACAAGAGTAGGTCTAGAGGTCAAGAACATGGTTTGAAAATCAGGATATCTGGAGTCAAAGCATAGTCAGCAATTTTAATTATATGATTTCAGGAGACCTGCTTCAATTTCTCTGTGGTTTAGCTTGCTTACCTGAAAAATGTGAATAATAGTAGTACCCGGAAGTAATAGTATCTACTTGAGATGGTTGCTATAAGAATTAAGTGAAATATCCACACGGGAAATTTCATAGCCAACACATTGAAAGTATTCAATAAATGTGGGTTTCTACATGAACTAAATGTATATTTATAAAGTCATGACACAGATGAAGACAACATTACAACTGTGATAGAAGGTCTGTAGGAAAGATTTACTGTACTTAGAGGCTATACAGTTACAAGGAATAAATACCTCTTAAAGTAAGGCAACATCAGGAGTTACCTGTGGAAAACAGGGTAAGATTTTTCCCTTTCACCTTTTTGAAGGTATCTTCAAATTTAATTTTCTAAGGTTAAAAAATGCATCTTTCACTCAAAAGTTGAACTCCTGAGTCAAAAATAATTAATAAGGTTACCTTTCTCTAAATCTCATAAGAGAAGCATCCTTTTAATTGGTCATAGAGTTTTGAGCTTCAGACAACAAAGAGGATTATCCAGGTGAGAAATAAGAAGAGGGAGATATTACAAGTCCTGTTCCTTTAATAAATCATCACTCAGCAGGAAACTTTTCAAATTGGAAACCAGGGGATGTCTTTGACTCCTAAGGAGACTGTGATATAATACTGAAACAAGTGAGTTATGGTAGAAAATGCAGTGTAATAAGAATAAAGTTCCTGACTTCCTAAATGTTACCTTAATGTATCAAAAACTGCAAAATTGAAGTTGTGAAAGTGGATCTCTGCACTAATATTAGAATAAATAACTAGACCTAAGAACCAAATTCATAAACAGGAAAAATTATAATAAAGTTTCAATATATGATCAGGACTGCTTTGAAAAGATTATTCCATAAATATTTGAATGACTGGATAACAACTTATGGGAAATAATTTGATATAATGTGTTATATTAAAACAAAATCCATGAATAAGGTGTTAAGCATTAAAAATAAATCAAAACAAATAAAATAATTTTATATCAATCAAATTTCTAAAAGACAGATGCCTTTTCTAACTTCAATATGATAAAATATACCTCAAAGAAAGCTTAGATCTTCTATAGCAATCAATATTTAGCAAAGAAAAAGAATCTAGAGACTGGAAAAATATTTTCATCAGATTTAATTAGTTTCTTTTTAGACTAAAAACAAAAAAAAACATTTATTTCCCTATAAATAAAATAGCAAAGGATGAATAAACATTTCACTAAAAAAAATAGCTATTAACATAAAAGGAACTCATTTAACCTTTAAGTAATTTAAACTTAAATGTAGACTAGCTGAATAAATCATTATATTAATATACTATAGTAAAAAAGAAAAGGGCCACAATAATCTCTAGTGCTGACAGAGCTGTACTTTGAATTGTTATATTATACGCTATTCTTGTCATTGAAAAATACATGTCAACAGCCATACCCCCATCCATTGCAATTTCAGTTTTGAGGGCCTAGCCTAACAAAAAAATCTGAAATCTAAACTATAGAATTATATATGCATAGCAATATTGATCTCAATATTATTTGGCATGCAAAACAATGCCAGAATTTTCAAAATAAACATGATTAGATCAATCATAGTAATTCTATATGATGCAATTTTGATATTACATATTATAATACATATGTATCAAATGTATTGATTATATAATTATATATCCTAAATTATATTTACATGATACTGTGATATTATATGATACTTTGATATTATTTGATACTATTATATAATACTATGATATTATGATACTATGATATTATATACTATAAGATATATAAGATATTATTTAATCACCAAAGTAACATGGTGCTTATAATTACCCATTAAGATAAATATGATATATAATCACATATGTACTTTGACTATAATAAGGTTGAAAATAAAGGGGTATGAAATTGGATTCTACTAAATTATTGATAGTAGTATATATTTTATACAGATACCAGGGGATATGGAGATAGATAGATAGATAGATAGATATACTTAAAATTAAAAGCTGTCTCCTAAATTTGATTTGTAGAGTTTAGTATGAAAAGAGCAAAAACAACTTTAGCAATAAATATATACAGAAATGGCAGGGTCATAAGGAAGCTTATTTTACTGTGTCACAATGTAAAAATAATTGCTATTTAAAATTAGCATTGATAATGAGTGATAATATTCCTTGTAGTCAGGCTGTTTTGTGAGTCACTATTCCAGTTTTTATAAAGATATTATTTATTACAGTGAAATTCACAGTTACATATATAATTTAATGATTTTGATAAATCAAAGTATGTAATGTATTCAACACTCTAGAGAGTGCCTTTTTGCCCTGTTTCAGGTAATACTTTCAACAGAAAACCTCAATTTTATTTCATAATGATAGATTCATTTTGCCTGTTTTAAAATTCCAAATAAAAGAATCACATGGTATGTACCCTTTTATGTTTTTTGTCTAAATTATCTTAGCTAATCCTCCTTCTGGACTTGAAATCAATTTTTTTTTTTTGGTATTTCACTTAGTGATGTAGTATATTGTTTTAGACCTGCTAATTTTTAAAATTTTAGAGTATGTGTGTATGTGTGATGCTTGAGATTGAACCTATAGTCTAGGACATGGTAGGCAAACACTCTACCATTTAGCCACTCTACCCCTGTCCCTGGTTTTACAGTTGAAGTACATTTTTAATCGATAATGTACACTTAGTCCTTAGCTTTTTATCCAGTGTGCAACAGGTCTTTTAACTGAGGTGTTCAGGCTACATAGGTTTAATGTAATTTTTGACTCTGAGCATTCGAGGGCAATTATTTTGCCATTAGTCTCTACTTGTTCAGTGTATTCTCCATGCTCTTATTTGTTCATTCTTGCCTTTCTTTTTTAAAAACTTTAAAAATTTTTGTCAATTTTAATTTTTTTTAATTTTAAATTACAACAACTAATTATTTTGTTTTTCTAGAAATTACTATATATCATTAACATCACATTAAAACCATATTTAATATTATACTATTAATAGAAAATATAAGAACTTTTCAATATTATAGCACAAAGGCTGATTCTATAATAACATGTACTTTACAACTCTGTACATTGTAATACTTACAATCCTATATTACTTTTGCTTTAATCAGTCATACATCTTTCAAGGAAATTAAGGGAAGAAAATTGTTGTACTTTATACCTATCCACATATTTACCACTTCTGATGTTCTTCATTTCTTCTTAAATATTATATAGAGTCCATCTGCTCATTTCTCTTCAGCTTGAATAAAATCCTTTAGTATCTTCTATATTGCAAGCTAGCAGTAACAAATTCTTTTAACTTTAATTTGTCTGAAAATTTCTTTATTTTTGAAAGATTTTTTTTTACTGGATATAGAAATCAGGATTTATAGATTTGTTTCCAGCCATTTAGGTGATAACTCTAGTTTTCCAGTATCCATTGTTTTGATTCAGCCATCATTTGTATCTTTGTTCCCTTGTATAGAAAATGTCTTTTTTCCCTTCTGTCTCTTTTCAAATTCTCTTTGGTTTTTAATAGTTTGATTATTACATGATGGTTTAATTTTCCTAAAAGACACAAAAAACTATTTTATTTCTGTTTTTTCTCTTTGTCTTATAGATTTGTCTTATAGATTTAGTATGTCTATGGCCTTGTCCTCAATTTTACTTTCTTCTGCCATCTCTAATCTGTTGTTAAGAGTGTCTAATTAATTTTTTTATCTCAGACATTCCACTTTTCAGTTCCAGAGTTTCCACTTAATTTCTTTTATAGTTTAATTTACTTGCTGAGATTTATCATCTGTTCATTTATTGTAACCATTTTTTTAACATCTTTGAACATATTTATGATAGATAATTCCTAGTCTTCATCTACTGGTTACATCTGAGTCATCTTTGGATAAGTTACAATTCATTATTTTTCTATCAATTAGGAGCCGCATTCTCCTGGTTTTCTTCACATGTCTATTAATTTTAATAGTATATGGATATTGTGGAGGATATGTTCCTCTGAAGACTGTTTTAGTTCTAGCAGGTTTTAAATCACTGGTTAATCACCTTGTACTACAAGAACTTGGCTTTATATTAGTTAGGTATGACTACTCCAAATTTACCTTTAGTTTTAGGGTGAATATATTACTCTTGAGATACATTACTTCTTCTTATGGCCTGTTAGGGTTTTCAGCAAAAAAATGACTTTTCTATCAATCTTTTCTAACTTGGTAGGACATACATTTCAAGCACTGCTACCTATAATGTGAGCAGAATCTAAAATCTCTGCTTGATTTTTTTCAAATTCTCAGCTAGGGGTCTCTTATTGTCTCTTTAAAGTCTCCTCAGTAAGTCAGCCAAGAATTTGAGGAAATTATATATTGACTTGTCCCTTACTATATATATTTCTCTCTCAATTTTGAGCCACTCTGCTCGTCCAGAAGCTTTCCTCTGATGTCTCTGGCCTATAAGATTGTGGCTTTCTGTTTGAGTTATAGTTCTCAATCTGTACAGACTAGGGAGTACCCTAAGGGAAGGTGCCAAGTAAAATGATTTTCACACAGTACATTTCCTTTCTTTCAAGGTTGAAATCTATTTACTGTTTGCTTGCCACTTTCCATTGGTTTCAACTGTGTTTTTATATTTTGTCCACTCTTCATATTTGTTATGTATAGGAGGATTAGCCTTACGTTAGAAATTATGCCCTTACTAAAATTGAACTGCAGTGGGCTCTTTTGTTAGTGTTTCATGATGATCTCTGATTCTCTAATTAAGACAGTGCCAATGATCTGGATTGTAGAGCATCTGTCCTATAAGTAGCAGCACATATTGATAAGGAATAAGAAAAACATTCCTGGAAGATTTTGGAAAATAAACAGTTTCTTCCAAAAAGCAGGTTTATGGGAGCAAGACTTTTCCTCAGAGTTCTAATACTAGATTTGCATACCCAGTGGCAGAAGTCATCACATATTTCCTAACTCAATTTCTGCTCAAAAGTCACACAGTTTGAAAAACTGATACTCTTAGGAACCCAGTACATTCATCACTTCATGGGGCTAGCAGATTAAGAAAGATCATAAAACTAGGTTTTGTTAGAAAATCTGTGCCTCTGAGCAAAATGGTAAAGCTTTATAATGTTGCTTGTGGTTCTTGAGATGGCTGAGTCTTTCTTTCTCATGTGCAGTCAGAATAAGAATTCTGCTTAATAGTAATTAGAAAGGATAAGGATTCGGTTAAACTGATGATATTCTTTTTGGATAATAGACTGGCTTTTCCCCTCACTTGCTGTGATTCAACAAAAGCTCAGGTTTTAAAATATCATTTTAAAAGTTTTATGTTACAAAAGACACTTTTGATTTTATCATATTAAAGTATAATATATCTAACACCAATTATCTGAGAAAAATAAGAATAGAGGATGAATTTTTAGAGACAGACTAACCTGATATTTAATTCCAGCTCTATCATTTATTAAATGTGTGGTTTTGGACATAATATTAAGCTTTCTGATCTTCAGTTTCTGAACTAAAAAGTGTGACTGTTAATAATGATCCCACTGGGAATGCTGTGAGATTGAAATTAGATAATGTATTTAAAATGCCTGGCAAAGTGTCTGACACAGAGTACATACTTAGGAAGTATAAGAATATTATTATCATAGTGATCGTAATAACAGTATTTACATTATTACTAGTTAACTAGTTGAGAATAAAGTGACAAATCAGAGAAGAATGTATAGTTTTTTTATTCTTCATAGTTTTTTTACATTATTTTGATACTTTATTATGAAAGCAAATTGTGCATATCTGATCCTTCTCTTTCTATTTCTCCCATTTCATTTGTAAACTGCTTTTTCACCAACCTAAAATTCTCACCTAGTTCTTTTTTCAGTTTCTTTTTTTAATAACTTTATTTTTATTTATTTATTTTTCTATATGGTGCTAAAAATTAAACCTAGTGCCTCACACATGCTGGGCAAGCACTCTACCACTGAGCCACAATCAGTCCTCAGTTTCTTAACTGTAATAAAACTCTTGTCACTTCATTGTTTCTCCTTCTACTGTTCTCTGTGGTCTTGGTCTACCATCATATGGAGCTGTCTTCAGATCTTGGCTCAAATATCATCTCTACAAAGAAGTCTATCCTAGCCACCAATTTAAGTAGGCAGTCTTTTGTTCATCTCATAATACTGCCTAATTTATATCCTTTTGTCTTAGTTTGGAATACTATAACAGAGTATTTTAGACTGGGTGGCTTGAACAACATAAATTCATTTTGTTATTTATTTATTTATTGTATACATGATAGTAGAATCTATTTTGATATATTTATACACCTTTCATGGTTCTAGAGGCTCAGAAACTAATTTCTCATGGTCCAAGATCAAGGTATTGGCCAAATCTGGTTTCTGATAAGGCACATCTTTCTTAGAGATAGCCATCTTCTCATATCTTCATACAGAGGACAGAAGAGAGAGAAGAAGCCAACTTTCTCATATCCTTTTTCTTAATCTGTGCATTATAGGCATACATAATAACTGTGTTCATTATGCCATGTTTGTATATGCACATAGCTTTTTGATCAGTCTCATTACCCTACACTTGTTTGCCTCCTGGCCTCCCTCCCACTGATCTGCTTGCTCTACTCTACCAATCTCTCTTCTCTTACTTATTATTACTACTACTAGGAGTACTTTATTGCGTTATAATTATATATGTACACAATATACATATATTGTGTATATCCATTCATATGTACTCACTGTATATTCATACATGGACATAGAATAATCTGATAGATTTATTTCCCAACATTTCCCCCCATGCTTTTCCTCCTTTCCCCCTTTTGATCCCCTCTCTCTATTCTACTCCTTCCCCCCTCCTCCGCTCTCGCTCATATTCTCTCTCTCTCTCTCTCTCTCTCTCTCTCTCTCTCTGTCTCTCTCTCTCGTTTGACTTTCTGAGTCTGACTTAATTTCAGTTAACATAATGTCCTCAAGTTCCATTTGTTTACCAGCAAAAGACATAATTTCATTTCTCTTTATGACTGAGTAAAACTCCATTATTTATATAGACCAAATTTTCTTTATCCATTCTTCTGTTGACAGGCATCTAGGCTGGGTCCCTAACTTGACTATTGTAAATTGTGTGCATCTCATGTCTTTTATAAGGACACTACTGCCATTCACAGTGTTCCACTCTTGTTCCCTAATTAACTCCCAAAGGCCTTGCCTCCTCTTATTATTACATTGAGGATTAGAATTTCAACATATGAATTTTGAGGGGACTCAAAACATTCAGACCATAACATTTTTCTAGCACATTTAAGTTTTAGGTTGTAAGTTTGCTTGATAGTTAATAGTTTTCTCTCCCAATACACTATATGCCCTGCCATATGAAGTTAATAACCAGGTCTGCTTTATTTATCATTATAACTAGTACATATTATACTCAACACAAATTTTGTGAATAAATAAATACAAGACAAAATGATACAAGTGGATACAATTGGGTAAGTAAAGTCAGTTTATCCCTTGCCACATATAATGAGACATAATTCCTTCTTTACTGATTGAGTTATGAAAAGTGCTTATTCAATTCTCAGGAGTATACAATTGTGTTTTTAAGTACTAATCAATGAATGAAATTTACTAATGGCTTAAAATTAATACTCCACAATTATTTCTACTTCTTTCTCTAGAATGGCCACATCTGTTGCTCAGTGGATCCACAGTGCCTTCAGGAGCTGTGAAGTTGACTGTCTTATGGGAGATTTCTGCTTAAAGAATGTTCTTTCATTAAAAAGACCAAAAAAATGTTTTAAAAAATTGAATGATTTGTGGGCAGCTAAATGCAGCTTTGTTAGTAGCTGAGTAAACTTTCAATTATGATGTTTGTGAAGCTTGAGAAAATCACAAAAGGAAAATTCTTGAAAAAAAAAACTAGACCACAATTCTGCCTCTTCTGTACCTGACATCACCTTGTAGAAAATGTGTGTGAAATGCACACCATAATGTCCGTCCTGACCCCTGTACGGGAAGCCTGAGCCCATTGGATCTGTTAAAGTCTTGGGCTTCATTGGTGCAGAAAATTTTCTTCTAGATCAGAATCTTCATGAATCAGTTAGGTTCCTCACTGCAGAAAATGAAATGTAAAGCAGTGAATGAATTATATTTTCAGAAGCAAAGCAAAGAACCTATAATGTGTTATGTACAGTACACACTCTGAAAAGAAATCTGAAACAAGTTATTGTAATGATAAAAAATAATGCACAGGCATGGTTACTTAATATTTTCTAACAGGAAAAATCATCCCCATTTCCTTGTTTTACTGCACTTATATTATTTGGTTGAATTTGTTCAGTATAAGCTCGTTCTTGTGCAAAATTAAATAAATATTTCTCTTACCTTAGAATGTGTGAGTCTCTCTTGCTTAATGTGTTCTGCTTTTCTCCAGATGTTTCAAAATACATTTTTTTCTAGTTATGATATAAAGTTTCACTATGTTATTTCCAAATTGAGGAGTAATTTTTCACTAAATTATATGCCTAACTAGAGGGTGAGATATATACCCTCCTTCTGTCTCTCCAGGTCCTTAATTTTACCTTTTCTACCCTGCTCTTGTATCCTGGGGAATCTGACCTATATAGAAAGTATTAATAGGTTCTCTTCCCGCTGGAATCTGGTTTCGTTTCGATTATACTGTAGTAGATATTGGTAGCATATCAGAAAGAAGTAAAATTTGGATATTTATGCTGCTGGCTCCCTCCTGCCAGGTCACCACCATGATTGGCTGTGTCACCTTATTGAAGAACTGAAGAATACATTTCCTGGCAAGTGGCTTTCTCTCTTCAACCTCACCCTTTAGGTTGTGATGACTTCTTCTTGCTTCTTCTGGCTTAGAGTAACATCCCAGGCTACTCTGTCCTTGGGGGTAAGGGGATCCCTGCTCTATTTCTTGTTGTTTTCTCTATTTCCAGTCACATCTTTATATATGGTCCCTTTGTTAAACTCCTTAATTAGACGTCTTAAGTGTGCCATCTGTTCGCTGCCAGAATTCTGGCAGATATACATAAGGAAGGGAGTGTTTGAAGGTTGGAAATGTCTTCAGGAACTGGTCCTTCACACTGCTATGTAAATCCTTCTCAAGGTTAGGAGGAATTATATTATATTCACATTAAATCTTTCTATGCACCAAATCGCAGATGAAAAACAGGTTATTCCCAATAAGGGAACTTATTCCAATAGAGCTCAATTTTTATACTTTGTACTAAAGTGAAAAGGAAATACAAGTATTGTCAAATTAATTTTTACTTGCATGGAGGCATTTTTCTTTAAAGAAAAATTGAAATGGAGAGGAGATGACCACTACAAGCTACAGAAATGGTAAAGTAGCTTTTAGCTACCCCCTCACCATTGCTATGGAAACAACCTAACATAAGGTGAGCTGAGGAAAATTTATAAATGTTTTAATTCTTTGGCATGTGCGATATGTATTGCATGTGTAAATTCAAGTATCTCTCTACATTCAATATAAATGATTTTTCTGCTGCCTTTTTATATTTAATTTAAAATTTCAGCAGAATATAAGGCTTATTTTTATCAGCTATATTACTATGGTAAATAGCAATTTTGTTTCCAAGAGGGCTAATTTAACATTTATTCCACGTGATTTTTTATATAGGTTTGAGATTTCATATTAAATTCTCCTTTACTTGTTTTTATGAGGAGAGTAACTGTGTATGTGTGCATACTTACACATCTACCTCTGAACACATACATGTTTTTTATTTAGATACGTTATGTCTTTCTGGAAAGAAGAGATAGGCTGGGATTTTATATCCCACATCTTTTTTTTTTAAGTCCTTGTAGTGTTTTGAGCATATTGGTAGCTTGTAGACTCATGTTTTCATATACAAATGAAATAAAGAAAAGCCTTTAAATGCTGAGACGAAAGAGGGGGGAAAATAAAACCATGCCCTTCCTGGACATTATATCAGTGAATCTGCTCACATTGAACCCCACTCCAACCCCACACTCAAGGTTTATACCATAAATACTAGAACCCCAGGAAAATTATTTGATCTATAGACCCCCCCATAAAAGTAATCAGAGATTATTAAAAACAATGTCCCTTAAAAAAGAGGTGTTTAATGCTCTCTGGTGATACCAGGCAAAAATGACCACCTTCTGGGAAAGTGAGAACTAAGAAGCATGACTTTAATTTGAAAGTGCTTGGTTCCTTTAAATACAAGCCTTGGTAGAAATAGTCCTTACTTCATTTTCTTTATACCCCTTTTCTGAAAAAACAAAAAGCACAAGAACATTTAAATATGATTCTTTGGTAAGTAATACATGGTAACCTGTATCATTTATCTCCCTTTTAAAAGACTGCTGTATTGCTTTTTTGTTCTGCTTTATATGCCGGTAAAGAGAGTCATGGGTTTGTTCAATTACACTGTAATATCACAGAACCCCTTTTATCTTCCCAATAACTTGGCTATCTATAGCCAAAGTTGAGATGCCCTGTAATTGCCTTTACAAAATGAACGGTATATCAAAGCTCTAAAACAGCAGTCAATACTCTCGAGTGTTGGAATACAGAAGTTATTCAGCTGAACAAAGCTGAAGCTACATGTACTGAATAAAAGATGAGCTTCAGTTCACTAAGCATTATCTCATCTATCAAAATTCCACATTGCTGACTAGTTAGGAGTTCTTCTGAAGGTCAGCAGATCCCACAGACATCTGTGTGGTCCCAGTCCCCATGGATCTCTGGTGAAGCTTAAGCACTGATAACACCAATTGCTTTTAGAACAAAACTTTTTGTTTTATAGTTTTTCAATGTAATGTGTTCTTGGTGCAAGAGCAAATTGATCTCAGAGTTTCATGCTGAAAGGATCCTTGAAGGCAGTAAGTGAATGCTTAAGCTCTGTGTACGTGCCAGTCACTATGGCACCTGGATGCTCCCCCTCTGCAGGGGCTGTTGCAGGAAAGTTGGTTCCTGTGTTCTCACTGACCTTTCATTATTGATGTACTGTTTTCTACCTTAGAATTCAATATCCTCCATAGAGGAATTGTCACCTCTTTGCAGAGTAATTGCCCTTAGTTAATAGACCTGCAGGTAGAAAGGCAAGAATGCCTTGGGCTATAGAGGCTCTAGATCTGTGGTGACATAAATTGGTAAAGAACAGAGCCATTGGGGGAGTCTGGTCAGTGTAAACTGAGTAACAGTTTTATATTCCTTCTATTTTCCAAGAGGCAAGGACAACTCCTCCAAACCTTTAGTGTCAGTCCTGAGATTAAATTATTTTCCACAGACTGTTTGCATAAAAGATTCTGAAATTCTTCTTTATTCTGAATGACAGATGACACAACATATTACTGTCACCACCAAAATATTGCATTTAAAACATGTTCTCCTATTTATCTCTAGTACTAGGTGCTTTTTAAAAAAAATGTCTGAAATAAGAGAGTGACTACATGCAAGTGTATATATTATATTGAGTTTATTTTTTTAATAAGTTTCTCTTTCAGAAACTGCAGCCATAAATAAGGAAAAACAGAAAATTTTCTGAAAAATATAAGGAATCTAGGAATACCTCTATCAAAAGAAATGCATAAACATATGGGGAAAATATAAACCCATAATTAACAAATCTGTTTTGAGGATATATTGTATACCAGACACTGTGCTTGGCACTGTGTACAACTTATCCCCTGTAGCAAATTCACTGCAACACAGCCACTGCAAAGAGAAGTGTCCAGGCATGACAATGACAAAATTTGACACACCATAAGCACTTATTTATTGTTTTCTCATGCAGTACACATTCCAGTGGGTAGAAGAGAAAATTATCAAATAAGTAGATGTGATTTTAGGTGGTGATTAAATGCTGTGAAGAAAATTAAGGTGGGTTAGGTAGTGATGAAGACAGGCACGATAGTTTAGATACAGTGATCAGAAAGACGACATTTTCTAACATCAAGAGTCATTGGAGCAAATGTTGGAAGTGAGAGAAAGAGCCATCTGCATACCCGGAGGGGAGAATTATAAGCAGAGTGAACTGAGTTACAGATCTGAGGTGGGAACATACTTATATTTGTCTGAGTGGCATGGGCAAGCTGAGGCCTGCTTGTGGAGGATGTAGTCAGAGCAGTGGCCAGAGACTAAGTGAGGTTTTCCAAGACCATGAGTAGGGCATTGGAATTTATTCTAAGTGACATGGGAGTCATTAGGCAGTTTTGAGCAGTGCTGCACCATCCTATGACCATTGAAAGATTTACTCTATTGATTGTGTGAAAAATAGGAGCAGAACACAGGATGTGGGAGGTGGTAAGTAGAAAGCAGGAGGTACGTTTTAACCACAGAATTTCAGACCTGATGTGAATGGTTTGGACTAGAATGATAACTGACTGGGAACCAAAAGGACCAATAAAAAGAAGATCCAGTAATGAAGAAATACGTAAGAAGGCTAAGAATAGCACCAAAAAAATGCCAACTTGCCCCAGTAGTTCTAGCAAGGGAAAAAAAAAAAAAGAGTTCCTAAAGGTCACTGTAAGTTATTAGAAAAACAAATGACTGAGACTATTTTAACTATCTTGAAGAATTACATTTAGGGACAAAGGAAATTTCTTCCATATATCAGGAAGATATAAAGTTGTAGGAATTAAGAGTGGCTGTGGCAATAAAAAAGATAAATCACAGATCAATTTAATAGATATATAAAGTAGCAATAAGACTTAAGAAACCAACTAACCCATGCATAGTTAGATCCTTGATATGTAATGGATGTTACACTAAACAAGGGAGCTGTGAAGATTAGTTATGGGAAAACCAAATCATAGAGGCTTATCCTTATTTCATACAAATCAGTTCCACATGGGTGAATGACCTTGATATGGAAAGTAAAATAAATTTACAAAAATATTTAGGAGAACTTTGTTGTCCTCAAAGTATTTTAAAACAGACTAAAAAAATCATATACTAAAAGCATAATTAGATTCTGCTATTTAAAATGGATGAAAAGATCAATGACTTGAAAAGATAATGCTATTACATGTAATCACAAAAAGTTGAAAACTGGAACCTATCTATATCTATAGATTTTTTTCTTTTTTTAAATTTATATATAATAGCAGCATGCATTACAATTCTTATTACATATATAGAGCACAACTTTTCGTATCTCTGGTTGTATACATAGTATATTCATACCAACTCATGTCTTCATAATGTACTTTGGATAATAATGATCATCACATTCCACTATCATTGATAACCTTATGCCCCCTCCCTTCCCCTTCAACCCCTCTGCCCTATCTAGAGATTTTCTATTCCTCTCATGCTCCCTCTCCCTACCCCACTATGAATCAGCCTCCTTATTATTATTATTCGGCATTTGGTTTTTT